ACTTTTTTCTTCTCTCCAATAATACTAACCCACATGAGCATTGGGATTTTCAGATATTTCTGCAATGTGAAGTTAGGTTTAAGACTGAGAATAAAAGTAGCACTGAAGCTTTTGGAACACAACAGTAATAATACAAAGGGAAAGATTTCTTAGCCAGAATGAGAAATTCTTAACTAAGATTTTAAGGCTGTAAAAGAAAGCAAACAAGGGCCTATCTTCTCATTTTACTTGCTGAAGTACTCAGAAAAGAAAGCCCATTCAAACAAAAAAGCACCCTTCCAGCTTCTACTGCTGACAAATAGAAAAAACAGGGAACACTCAACTCAGATTAAAGTCACTACTCAAAATCTGGAATTTTTTGTGTCTGTAACAAGACTTGACATCTATAGTATCACAGCAACTACTGTAGTAGTAACATCCAAGTAAGCAAGCCAGGACAGCTAACCCACCTACCACTGAGGTTAACAAAATGGTTTTCTCTGCTTTCAGTGAAAGTTACCCTCATTGCTACAGCCTGGTCTATCTTCCTAATAAGGTCCTTGGAAGAATTCACCAGTGTAGTTTCTCAGTTTTCTTCACAACAAGAAGGAACTACAAGTCTCAAGGTATCAGTTTTTAAGAAACCAAATAATCATTTCAGTAACACCTACCCAAGTTGTGCATTTCAGTTGGTTTAAAAGGAGGGCAATCCATAAAGTGCTAAGCAACTACAAATTTCTGAGCTCTAAATGAGAAGGAATTCATAAAGCATAAAGTTTGTTAGCCTCACCATAGTATTGCAATCACTGGTTTTTTTGTTTGTTTGTTTGTTTTTTAAAAGAGAAGTCAAGAATGCAACACTTTACAGACACTGCATCCCTGGAAACAAGTCAAAGTGCCTGGCTTTTAAACATGCAGCACAAGACAAAACTAGCCCTTAAACAACTAAAGTACAGACAAAAGGGAAATTCAAGAACATTACAATAACTTAGGTCAAATCGGTCCTGGAAAATACAAATAAAGATACTTAAATGGTCTGGTATTTTAGGGATGAGGCTCCTTTAAAGAGCCCAAACCCACACCCAGCTGTGATCAACTACATCCCAGTTACAAGCACTTACACAATCAGCGCTTACCTACCACTGCTGAGGGTGAGGACAAGCCACGTGCATGCTCAATCAACTCCTTTTTACTCTCTAATTTTGTACATATAGGTGTCATTACCACAGCTGTAACACAACAGGGAGCCCATCGCACACCACATAATCTACAAAACAGTTTATAATGCTGAAGGCAACAGGCAGAAGCTTTATCTGTGCTAGAGAAAAGTGTTTAACTGCAAATGGCATCAGAAGTCCTGAAAGTCTTTCCATCCCACCCTTCCAAAAGAACAACAACACAAAAACCACTACCAAAAAGAAGCACATACCTGGAAGCTGGCTGCTGCTTATCACTGCTAACAAGAGTAGTAGTAGACTTTAAACCTATCTCAAAAGTTTCAGAGCAAAAGCGCCTAGTCCAGAGCAACAGCAACTCATTACACCACCAGCAGAAAGGCACCTAGTCCTGCCACAGACAATCCCCCTGCTGATTGAAATCAGGTGTGCAGGAGCCCCTCCACCTGACTTTGCTGACGCTGAGTGCCCGGGCAGGGAGCACACCTGAGCACACAGGTGCTGCCCGCCCACCACCACAGTTCAGTGAAAATAATTCATTTTTCTGCTGTCCCATCTCACTCCCTTCATAACTGATTTGCAAATCGCTCTTCCAGAATTACAGGTCTCTTACCTGAGCAACGCATCTTCCAGAATTCCGTAGCTAGAAACAAGTAAAATTAAAAGCACGCAAAAGCACCTGCAGCATCCCCTCCCTCGTTACATCAGACCACTCACCCTTACGTTTTACTCAGGATCTCCAAGATTTCTTTGTCCCACGTTGTTGGGGACGGCGGGTAACTCCTCCTCACCCAGCACTCCTATAGCTCGCATCCTGCCCCTAAGAGCAGCCTCAACGCACCCCGGAGGGGCCGGGCTTGGGCGAGGCTCCTGGCGTCTTTCCCAATGCCTTGCTGGTCCTAGGGCTGTCCCAGGACCGCCGGAGCTCGGATGCCCATTTGGGAGCTGCTGAGATGGGACGAGTGGAGAGCTGTTCTGTTAACCCCCTCCTCCCTGCCTGCTGAGGCAACGTGAGCAAGTGCAGGGCTCTCACAGTTCCTCTGCTTAGTGTTGCCGGTAATGTTCGGTGTAATGTGGTTTTAATTTTACTCAGCGGAGGCAATGAAAGCGTGTAGTCTTACCGCTGTTTCCCTTCTTCCTGCCGGGGGTTATCTGACCTGCTGAACTTTGTCTCGTTGGCATTCGAAGTAGTGGATTGTTTTCAGGCATGATCTTCTCTGCTGCACTCCGAGTCTCTTCTTCCTCTCTTCTTTGCTTTCTGTTGCAATGAATGAAAAAGTAGATGAAAGTTTGAACTAGGTTTATTAAGCTTATGCGCACGTAAGATCTTGTTTAATCTTAAAACATAAATCTGAAGTCTGAAGGTAGAAATTAACTGAAAAGAGCCCATACAAAATTTTTGCAGTGCAGCCGACCTTGCAGCCTTCTAAAACACCTCAGCTGTGATCTTTAAAAAAACCTCTGGCTAGAAAGCCCCCAGATGAGTTTGCTAATTATGAATTGGATTTCCTTACCTAGCAGGGTGATGCCTTCCCTTCTCTTCTAGGTTTGCCCTTTCATTTGATTCAGCCACCCTCATTAGAGGAGAATAAGAAAATTAAATGCTGTAAAGTGTAGTCTTGACTAGTATGAGAATTAGCAAATGTTTTGTTAAGTTAGCAACACCCAGCTAAGGTACCTATAAAACACTTGTTAGATGCCAAACATATAAATATGTATAATATCACGCCATTATTTTTAACCTTTTATTCATTAATTTGGAGGTCTCCATGGGGACCTCTGAACCATAGGCTAGTATTTTTTCTATGACCCTTAAGGTTAAAAAAGCTTTCTTTGCATACTGTTGTGTTCTTGAAACCAAACCAACTGTAAAATACTGCCTACTTCTAGGCTTAAAATAGCTGAAACCACCAAGTTTCCTGTGGTTTCACATAAAACCATACACTTTGTGATGGGTGCCTACTGTTGTAAAACATGGGCAGGGGCATGGCCAGGCACCTCCCAGAAGCTCAGCTGATAGATTTTTTTTCAGTGGCAATCTCTGTCTGACTCTCATCCACATGGAAATATGTTTAAAAGTATACAATGGGTGCTCACAAGGATGACATATCAGAAAGAGGCCTATCTATTTTTTTCCTTAATTTTATGGTCTTAGGATATGTGTGTGTTCGGAGTATACACGTGGTTTGGCAGCTGTCTCTCAAGACTGTTCAGTATTATCTCACATGTGCAGTAAATAAAATGCAAAAGGCTGTTCTTTCTGCCCCCCATGAAAAAAAGTCAGCATCTCCAAAAGCTAGCATTGAGCAAGTATTAAAAATACTACTTCTGCACAGACTCTGTGTTCTGGAACTTGCAGTGGATTCACATTTGTGACAACTTCTGGTTCTGCAATTCCAAATGCAGACTGATATCATCTCTCCTGTCTGTTAGAACCCAAAAGTCCCCAAGAATGCAAAGATATATTCCAAGTAACTTGTCTCATTGCAAACCATATTTATATTAAAGGTTATCTACAGGAAGCATTTTCAGACCCAGCAGAAAGCAAAGGGTGGGTTTCTCTCAGCCATCTGGGTGACATTCTTTTCAGTGAGAAAAACACAGATTTGAAAGCAGCTTATTTACTGTTTTCACTCTCAGGTCATTTGGAATATAAAGTCTAATTGCTGACTTCCACCGAAATCCTAAAGCAAATGAAGGGACCACTTCTGCTAGAAGTAGAGGAACTGTAGCTTATTAAAGCTTTCATTCATTTATTTTTGATTGTTCTAGTTATCTAAATCTGTGTATGTTGGTGATACCTATAGCAAGCAACCTCACTTTACTTCGTCAAATTTCCTTTTAGGGAGATTGTGTCATAGCTCATCTCAGTCTTTTGTGGATTTTTGCCCAAATGTCAATTGGACATTCCTTGTAACCCTTCACAGCTTCAGAAATACAGAAGCTGTGGAAGTGCAAGAAGACCCTGTGCTCTACACTTTTCCTGCACTGTCAGGAAAATACTCAGTCACTAAATGTGGATGTGAAATACCCTTTTCTCTACTGCCTTCGGACAGCCTTGTACACAGCAGTGGCTTTGTGAACACATTGCGACAGCAACACCCAAGATATACAACATTGACTGATGTCAAACTCATCACAGATACAGGCCTAAGTTAGGAAGACTACATCCCTTCCATCATTTTAAACCCTGACCTGCGTGTTTGGTTTATTTTTTGGTAACTTACCTGATTATCGAGTGCCCTTCAGGTTATTTTCCTGTTTACAGCACAGTGCAAAGAGAAGGGAGACTGAGACAAAAATTATTTAAATGAAACAGTCAGGCATGTGTGTGAGGATATGTGGATGAATTATGTTCTAACATCACTGGAAGGGTCATGATACTGTAGTTACTTGAACCTGACATACCATATGGTAGATGACTTTTCTTTGTTAGAAATATCTCGTTCTATACAATTAAAGTAGCACTGAAAAAGTCTCATCTCATTAGACAAAATGCCATTTTATTGGGGCTATATTTGGTATCTTTCCTTATCACTATGGAGACTTCAGAAATCATGACACCTCAATTACAAATAAGGCATGTGTTTGCCAGAGCTTGCTAGTTTATTGCCGACTGAAGCTGTGTGTAACTATAGAGAGTGCCACAGCACAGAGGGGAACGTTTCTGTCCCAGAAGCAGAGATAGCAGTGAACTTACAGCAATATTAAATTATCCTGAGTACTTTTCCACAGCTAATGAATCTAGCTCTGAAACTTCTGACAGAAATATATATACAGGTAGACAGATAAGCCCAAGCCACTCTGTTAATCCAAGGAGGAGAGGAAAAAAAAAAAACACATTGAAAAGAGGCTTCTTATTTTATTTGTATAGACAGTGTGATGTCATATCATGTCATCCATTTCCAGTTTTCTTCAGGAAATCAGTTAGTTTTGTGTAACTATTGGTTGGTGTGCATAACAAAAAACAGTAAAATCAGGGGCAGAAAAATGAACAATATTCTACCTCTTTTAAGAGCATATTTCTCCTAGATTTTTAATCCTGGAAAATCCCTTTGAGAATGAAAAAGATCACAATAGCAAAAGAGAACTGGTGATGGTTTTGGAAAAAGTAAAAGACTAGGTCTTTTACTATGTAAATAATAAACATAATGGTGAAGCAGTATAAGAAAAACAAAACATTTTGGTTTGGAGGCAGGAGCCGGTCTTGGAGTCCTTGGCTAAACTGTGAAAAGAGAAGATAGACATTATGTCACATGACTGTGTTCCAATCACACCCAATCCACATGCTTCCCTGAGCACACCTCATCCACTGGCATATTTAGTTCATAAGGAATTATTGTGAAGTTAGGCAGCATGTAAACTGAGACCCAATCAGCTATTTTGTTAAATAACAGAAGTCACTTTCCCTCCTATATCCATAACACAGACTAAGTTTTCTCTCTGAAATAAATGTTAAGTGACCTCACTTATAGAAGGAGTCTGCAAGTACACAGAGTAATTCATGAGAGGTAAGCACACACTCATGGTAACACTTTTTGCATCCATCTCTATATTTGTGGAACAAACTGTAGTCAATGCTTCTTTGCTGCATGGTCATTTTCAAACATTTACGCAGACTCATGGGGAAAATTTCAGGCCTTTACTAAAAAAAATCCAATACCTGAGATGTTTAGCCCAGATGCATATAATCCAAGTGTATTTCTCTTAATTGACACTAGAAAACTTCAAGGATTCTATGCAGCTTACCAGAATGCCATTCTTGCACATGATCTGAGATATGTACAACACAATGCTATGAATACTGCATAAAACATCCTTTTATTCTGTCCTGATTTAAAGCACAGAACACAAGTGAAGTCAAATATACAAGTACATCTAAAATATGCGTGATTTAAATTCAGATGCTCTGTTTATTCCCTAACTCAATCCAATGACAATTGGAAGCTCATCAGGGAAAGTTCTAAAAATCAGGTTTTGTAGCTGGCCTGTTTGCTAAACTGCCAAGTGGTCTCTTTAGGACTGGGCTGCTGTTGACAACACGCTAAATATTGAACATATGATAACTTCAGCTATTTCTGTAAAAAGCAGTCTTGCAAAACTGATTAGTTGTATTGTTTTGATAGATTATTTCATCCATGTATTTACTCACGCATTTCCTATCTGAATCATCCAAATGTAACTCAGGAAATTGATCCTACTGTAGAGGCAGGAAACTTCTGCATTGACTAAAATGGCATTCAGATCAAGTCTTCTGTCATTCAAGACAAATGAACAAGAAAAAAAACGTGTTTGTGGATCCTTACCTCATGAACTTAATTTGTGAGTTATCTGTTCTTTAATACATTTTATTGCAGTGAATGTTCTAGGGAGAAGAACCCATCTCCCTAGTACATGTACAAGCTTTAAGGATCACTTTCTGAAGTCTAACTTTAAAAGAAGTCACAGTACTACTCAATACACAAAAGAATAAAACTTTACAAAGTGCTTAACACAGAAATTGAATGTTTCAATCTCTACTGGGTTCAACCCTTTCTCTTTTTCCTACTAATTGCTCTTTTCTCTACCTGTTGATGAATCCGTGCCATTCTCTCTTTATGAAGCCTATTTTTGTCACTATCCTCATATTCATATTTCTGTTCAGCCAGCACAAAATTGCACCACATCCTCTGAAGTTCAATGTCAGCAGCAGTGACCTGCATGCAGCAAAGCTCTTTCTGTTCTTCCACATTGGTGGATACTTCAGACTGCAAAGAACTTGTTCTTCCCATCACATCCAAGTGTGCCATATGACTCTTAGCATCCATGTTCTCAGTTGTATTGTCTGAGATGAAATATGATGTTGGTATGTCTCTCATGCCACCCTGCTACAAATTGGAGAGTTGTTAAATTCATTTTCAGTCTGATAGAGATGCAGATGGAATAGATTCATCTAAGTCTACCTGAGTATTTGTTCAAGCGATTATTCATACTTTCATGTAATGATTCACTAGTTCTCTAATAACCTTCATTTCTCTAATTTCCATCATTTCTAAATTTAATCAATCAATTTTGAAAAGAAATCTTACATTGAATATTGTGCAACAAAACATGAAAAAATCCCCCCTATCAAAGTTTTCTGATTTGAACATTTACAGAATTTTCAAAAAATATTAAATTAGAGTCTTCCTGGCCTAAATCAAACACTACAACCTTTTTAACCAAGTAGAAAGATCTCACAACTTGTGAATTTGATATAATGCACAAAAATCTGAGCTACTGGAGTTCTTTTTCTCTCAGAAGAAACTCAGATTTCTCATGATCCTCATACTCTTTTGCAGATAATTTTCTGGCTGATCTACACCCTCCACAATTCATTGTAGTTTTACATCTGGAAGAACTCTATTTTCCACATACCATCTTTACTTGTTGCTGCTTCTTGTGCCTGTTGTTATCATTATTCTGGGTTTCCTGTAATGTAAGCTCAATATCTTTCACTAGTTTGTCCATAGCTGTTTGGAATGAATGTCTTAATTCCTCTAGATTGCTGGGTTCTTTCAAATCACCTCGCATTTGCTGGTCTTCAGCAAACAGAGATCCTTTCTGAATGTGAGAGACTTCTACTGACATCAAAATGTCTCCAGGGATGTTCTGGAACAGAATGGGAATATGTATGAAGCAGATGACCTGTATGTAACAAAGTGACTCCGAGTTGAATTTAGGAACATACACTTAGGGCGTATGCTTAGGGATGATACATAGAAGTGTCAAGAAGCCTAACTCGATTTGGTTTTTATCTAGATGTGGATGAAAAAAAAATACCACTATATGTAGTGATGCAAGTACATCTTCTGGGAATCTCTCTAGTCCTTTTAAAATTTGTCAGTAATTCCCTTCACAGTACTACTCAACTCATGGAAAACAAAACGTGGCTGAGAAATCTACCCTAATCTACAGGGATTCTTACTGTTTTCTGCATAGGCAAAATCACAACTTGTAGGGTTACAGCAAGTCATTAGCTGGAAATCAATACTGTCCTTTTAATTAACTGGAGTTAGGCAGACAATTCAGCTTGCAAACTAAGAATTCAGCTTCTTGTTTCCAGTCTTGTGGTATTTGCTGTGCTTTATAAAAGGGATGCAAAGTATAAATTTCATATCTGATAAAAGACTGAGGCAAGTAAGACAATTAATTTGTTACTGAATTTGAGGAAGAGGAGCAAAAGAGGAAGAAAGTAGATGAGCTGAGTATCATGGGAAATTGATATCAAGACAAGCAACAGGTTAACGCAAGACAACTACCTTCTCTTCACAGGATTTCCATACAGAAAACTTGAATCTAGCTGTTCCAGTTCAAAGGACACTATGATCGCAGGAGATCCTGTTCTTGGCTGACTTCATAACAGCCCTGTTGCCATAACAAACTCAGGGGTTCTGTTGGCAAGGTCACACTGTCACAATCCTTGTTCTAATGTCAAGGCAGCATCCAGACTCTTAAAGAGAACTGGGCATAACTCCTTTACTATCACAGTCCATCCTATGTCGTTATGTTTTCTTCATTATAAATACATCTCTGTGTCACAGTGAAGCTTTCTGCCAGAATTTGTGGACTCCCAGAATGTTTCTGTGCCCAATCTGACTAGTTCCTTCTGGGAAGCAGGTTTATTGGAACAGGCTGGATGGCACTGCAAAATTCAAGGGGCTGTATGCTATTGAGATTCTCAGTCTGCTCCATGAGGTGCTGGGTACAACACGGAATATTTGAAATGTTTCTGCACCAGTGTATGCAGCAAGATGAACATACAAGAGGAGCTAGAAGCCTTGTCTCAATCCCAGAACTACAGCATCACTGTGGTAAGTAAAGCTGGTCATAAGAGCAACCTATGCATGAGGTAGGGGCTGGGCTGCATGGAGTTTGAAGCTGGCAGCAACATGGTTGAGAGGCTGTGGGTAAGGATTAAGGAACAAGGAAAGAAAGTGGATGTCAATGAGAGAGTCTGCTATAGGCCACCCAGACAGAATGAAATACTCTTCAAGGAATTAAGGGACACTAGAATAGCCATCCTTGTCCTTATGGGTGTCTTCAAGTATTTTTTTTCTGAGTAGCACCAGCTGTTTTCTACATACTTCAGAAGGAACAAATAGCATGCTTGGAAGAAAAAAAAAAATCAGTTTTGTTGAAATATCAGCAAAAATTCCATTAAAGCTGAAATAGATACTTAGAATCACAGCAGACAGGTAGAAACGAAAACAAAATCACTAACTTATGTATGGAAATAAAATAATAATAAAAAATAAAAAAAACCAAGTACAATTTGCCAAATAATTGTATTATTCACTCTTTCTAAACTTCAGACTGTTTTAAAACTCAACAATAAACAAAGCAAGGAAAAAAAGTACAACCAAACACAGGTGTCTCTTCGTTAGGAAATGAACACGCACATTATTTTAATCAGCTCATCAACACTACCCTGTAAGGTTATGCACTTACAGCACTTGCTTCCTCTGAACATGAGCTTACAGAATGAGGATATGGAGACTCACTGCAACTATGAGTATGGAGAGGAACAACTGAATTCTGGTACTTGCTGATGGGGAGGGGTGCTGAAACTGGGAACAAAATACAGCTCTCTCTTGGGTCTAAGGAAAATTTAAAATTCCTTGAATGATAAGGTAGTTCCCCTTCATATAATACAGGTTTCTACATCCTAAGCCAGGCAGGTACTATGGCTGATGTAATCTGGGCTTACGTGCTGTTGTTGCAAAGGGGAGTCTTTTTGCCACTTGTCAACTTCATCTATTTTCTTGCATGTGCAGGAAGGGTAATGTGAACAGTGCTGTACCACTAGATAATGCTCTTGTGTTTTGGAGATCACGTATCTCCCAACATTTCTTACGGGTATAAGAGCAGCTATGGGATCTCCCCTAGCATGCCTAGACAGCTTTAGTATTTTAGCAGCCACTTAAATCATAGAATGGCAGTACCATACTTAGCCGTGCTGCATGCATTCCACTTCTCAATGTTTCCTCTTTCCAGACTGTTTACTGCGTTGACACAGAAAAAAACACAGGCTCCATGCAATAGGGCAGCATGAGGCCCTTGAGAGGATACTAGCAATGTAAAATATTGCATATGATAGATAGAAATAGGCTTCAAGAGGCACCCAGGAACATACATGAAACTGAGATTTGGGCCCGACTTCTTTGCCTCTGTTTTTTAGCTGATGTTACGTTTCCTCTACTGAAATGTAGCTGCTTTCTGAGAATCCTGTGTTGCCCTTTCTCCCTTTCTTTCAATAGACTGTTCCTGTTTTTTTTTCTTAGGAAGATTATTCTGTTCTTTATCTCCTTTATTTGTCAGCTTTTTTAATGGTAAATAATGAATTATGAGAATTTTGGAATTTGAAATCTTTTGCGTATGTTAATACCTTCAATAATTCTTTTTATTTAATTAATAGACGAAAGTAGGTTAATGTATTAGTAGATGCTTTTGTAATATCAACAAAGTGTAAGATTTCATATATTTGTGTGGGGGAAAAAAAAGTCGTTTTAAAGAAATCATAGCAGGGAAGAGTTACTCATTAGGAATTCACTAGGAATTCTCAGTACTGTGTTAAAAACTAGATAAGAAATTTACCAAAGATGATTTGGGTCCCAGATCCTTAAAGATACAGAGCATCTAGCAACTGTTCCCCTGTATTTTTAAGGGTCTGGGCATAAGCAACACACATATTATGAACTTCAGTCTGGGTTAAATAAATACCAAGAGAGTGACTAAATATTCTGGTACAGAAATTAACTGGAGCTGTGATACAATGAAAAGTATTTCTGCTCAAATTATGAGAGACAGCAAAAAACTTTACAAAGGTCAGCCTTCAAAGAAATTTAGATTGTGCTGTTTAGATGGATAACAGCTGTCCTGAAAAACAGGAATGGATAAATGTCATTACTGTGTAATAATGAACTGGAAAAAGTGTAGAGACTTAGAATTCACCATTCTGAGATACCGACATTTGAAGATGAGAGGTAATGGTACTATGAAGATAAATGGATGAGATGCAGTATCTGGTATCATCCAGAGCAAAAAATTGGAGGAATGTAGAGTATCCTACCAGCAAGTCAGATTCAATATTTAAAGTGAGCTACAAAAGTTGAGCATTGACTTTATCTAAGCTAAAATACCTCTATGAAGTGAACAGAAGAGAGTGGGAGTGAGAACAGAACTCAAAATAAGCAGTAAAAACATGAAAAGAAGATGGAAGATGTAGATCAATGGTGATTACTAAGAAGGACAACACAGAATGTACCAAACAGCAAAGCAGAAGTATCTCTTGAGATGCAGTTTGGAAATACATAAAAGAACTTCAGCTGATCCTGCTGACGAAGGGGGGATTTGGCAAGTGAGGATGGAGTGAAGGGCTTCTAATTGCCAGAGGCCAGGCTTTCATCAACCACAAGAAGCAAATTTTTCCGGATTTGAACTTGAGAAGGCTGGGGGAAGTAGAAGAGCCACTAACATCAATGACTAAAAATATTGAAGCTTCCCAAAGTAGCCTGAACAGGATTTGCTGGAGGTTTTGTTTTTATTTTTTTCTCTAATAATTGTCTCTTCTAAACTTTGTCAATGCAGATATAATTCTAGTCATGAAAGCAACAGACTTCAGAGAAGCTACAGACTGTAGATACACATAGGAAAGGCAATAGTACAGGTCTATGAGTAATAAGCTAGCTCTGACTACAACAGTCTATGAAACACATCTTGGAGATGAAGAAGGAAGTCTAAGTACTCCATTTGAAAGAAAAATCAGATAACTGTCCTGTGAATGCACAGTAATGTGAAAGATCAATGTGAGGATGAAAAATCCAGGTAGGTATGCACAAAAGTATCCCTGATAGCTTTAACTTTAATCCAAAGCCTGAGAAACTTAACAGACCTTTATCTGGACAGTATTTTTCAGAAAAATTATTCCAGATCCTGAAGGCAACACCTGGATAGCCTGCATATTTTGTGATTCAGTAAGAAGTACACAAAGTACAGCATATACAGTCATTACTGAAAATTCTATGCAAGAGGAAGTGTGTTAGGCTTTGTAGCTCTGACAAGTTCAGACTCTATCAGTAGTGAGATCTGACAACTTTGGTAGTGTAAGATACTTTTCTCCTAAGGAAAACTAAGAAGATTAATGTAAATCTAGTGACAGATCACAATTCCCAGCTATGCTGACAGCTGTGCTGATGGAGGACTTTATAAAATAAATGGATGACAGTACTGTTCAATTTTCATTGGGAACAGCTGAAAGCACCTTTATTGTAAAGAAAATGGATTTGGAACATTCAAATTGAGTGAATGAAATTGTAGCTTTTTACAAATATCATGCTTTATCATTCTGACAATGTGTGTTCCAGAGATATAGAAAGAGTTAGTAAATACAGAGAAATACTATCCAAATTTCTAATAGCAGGGAAATAATTTGGTTTACTACGTTACCTAGGAAGCAAGAACTGGAAAATAAAAACAGTAGGTTTTAAGATAGCTCTCAATTGTTATTAACCCAGTGTTTACAGTAATGTATCTGTGTATTACCAGAGCTCTATGTGGTTCCAAGAAATACAAAAAGCGTGGTTACATGGAAATAGCAAGTGGACCATAAA